GTGCGGTACTCGTGTCGTGTAGTAGGATATAGGAGACAGTGTTCTGCTTATTACAGTTATACTGGTGTCCCTCATAAGGTAAGCTAGTCACTGTGTTTATTCCAATCAGTCTCATGCAGTTACGATTGACTCTTACTGAACAAAATGGAGTTGATATGCTCATGTCAGGATGTGTGAGGAAATTCCAAGGGAATGGAGACTATTCCCATATATATAATGGGAAACGTATCACTGGGCCACTACCAACTATTAGTAATTGAGAGTCTATTATTTATAAATTATATTCATTATTGATTAGGTACTCCAACTGAGAGTTCACATTCTGTTGCTAATAAAGTGACTGTGAGTCCTAAACCCACTAATGCGCCAGTTCCTGTTAAACCCACATACACTGCTTGTAAGTACACTATGGGTGAAAATGTTAGGGGGATTTATATTTTGTTATTTTTTGGTACTTGAGCAAAATTTAATCTATGCTGGGTTTAATTTTGCTGGTGTAGATATGTTGTGCATTAACTATTATGCTTTGTGGGATTAAAATTGTATAATAAGTAGCAAACTGCAAAATTAAATTGCAGCAAATATAGCCAATTATACAATAATCCATTGATTGGTTTGTCTTTATTTCAGTGAAGGCTTTGGCTTACAAGTACACTCGTTCTGAAAATGTCATTCTGAGGTCTGTTGGACTGTTCTACCTACGTAAGCCCTGATGAACCATCAGAAACAGAACTTGAAACTTTATTTTTAATGCTACTGCTGCTACAATTATTTTCATGCTGTTATTCTTTTAAATAATAAAACACAATAATTTTGTTAAAAACATTACACAAAATGACTGTATACAATAAAATTCAACAGTTTTGCTAGATGTGATTAATGAGAGAGAGAGAGAGAGGAACACTATAATGATGCATTTTAAATAAGTGCCAGTTAGTGGGTTGGTCACAAGAACACACACACAACATAAAATTTGAAATTATTATCACTGTCAGTCAATGTGTCGCAGTAAGTGTTATATTGGAGCTATAATAATAATGATCAACAAGACAACAACAAAAACAACAACAATAATAATAATAACAATGAGGTCTTCATAAAGCTGATTCAGGGACTGATCTACGAGGCCCTTTATTCCCCGGTATAGAACTATTGTTCCAGTTACCAGACGATGGACCAAATATCTCTGTCGTTGGTGGACGTGAATCGTTTATGGAGTACCGATGTCTCCGATGTACTTCAGAATAGCCCACAGGACGTCCCCCAGTTGGACGAGGAGCTGGATGAGATGAAAGCTTAGGTCTGGTCTGCTGGTGGTATTTGTGATGAGGAGATGAGGTAAGGACAGGGTGGCCTGTACTGTGTAGCCCTTGATGGCTGAATGGCTCATCGTCTAACAGACCCACAGAACTTAGCGGAGAGGGCAGCAAGGAGGCACCCTCCATAGCGTGATTATAACTTATTTTTCGATTGATCTTTGATTTAACGGCCTGCCTGTGTAGGTGAGGAGAGGAGTGAGATGGATGCTCTAGTGGTGAGGGTATGTCCTTGATTTGGTCGTCATTGTTTGAAGTTAGGATCAGTCTGCTCTTTGCTAGTCGTTTCTTGTGAGGTCTGTTGGTTCTGCTGTCCTGACTGAACCAGTACTCATCAACACTGAGACCAACACCACCAACACTACCATGATCCTGACTGCTGTACATACTACCAATCCTGTGAGAATAAAGAAAAGAGAGAGATAAAAACAAAGAGTATTATAAGTAACAAAGCTCTTCTCTCTCTGTTCATTGATCAGTGTCTCTCTCTCTCTTACCTGGTGTTTGATTCATCATAGCTCCTTCTTGGTATACGTGTTGCAGTGCTCTTATTCTTCTCAGTAAATGTAGTATCACTTAGTCCTATTATGAAATGCATTAAGTAATAGCAAGAGTAAAATATCTATTCTTGGTAATACCACACATTTTAATTTGAGCTACATTCACATGCACAGTTATGTCTATCTGCTGAATACACACTGACAGACTGACAGACCTCTCTTTAGTAGCATATTGTTCCTATTGTCTGCCTGAGACTGAGAATATACTCCATCTCCTCCTCGAGTGACTGATGGCCCATCAATGAAATCAGTTGGTATAGGAGTAAACAACTCATCAACCTTCAATATTAAAAATACAATAAATGAATAAAATGTTATGAACATACAATTAACAATAAGTCATCAAACTCTCCACACACCTTACATTAAAAGATTACTTATTAGACTAACAATCCTCATCAAGGTGTGGCCCAATGCCATGGACTATCACTAGTAGAGCAATTAGCAAAGGGTTTGGTTGTACAATGAGATTAAGTAAATAAGACACAACAAGGGCATACTCTTGAAAACAATAGCTCAACAATTAACATTCTCTCCCTTACCCTCCTGCCACACACCCAAAGTTCCAAACACTCTCCTCCCTTCCGATAATATGATGTATAAACATTCCCTACCTTTTTCATTAAGAAATCCACCACCGTGTAAGTATAATTCATATCAGCTACAAGTGTATTGTTCTCCTCACTGATTGCCTTCCTCACAATAGTAGGCCCAAACACTAAGCACAGATTACGCAAAGCCATCTACATGTATAATAGAAAGAACTCTATCATAATGTATTTAAATTATGATTCTCCCATTTCTTGTTTAGAAAAGTCCATTCCTTACTTTATTAACTGTGCTGTGAGCCTCTACCCTGTTGAGATGCCTGATCAGATAGCCAAGAGTATAATAGTGTAGCTCTGGTAGGTTCTTGATCAGCTCCTTCATTCTCTCTTCTCTTTGCTCTACATCAATGTCACGAGCAGCAGATATGAATGCACCATACTGACCTGTGTGAAAGAATAGATAATAAATAATGTAATAACATTAAGATTAGTGCATCAGAAAATGTAATGGAATGAAGAATTCTCTCCTAGCATTTTTTTTGCAAAATTTACCACAACATAAGTACATGTACATGTACATGCATTAGAAAAAATATTAAAATAAAAAAATCCCACCTGGCCA